AAAATAGATTAGAAGATCTAACCCAGAATAGGCGGATCATACATAGCATCTGCATGTGATACATAAAATGATTACATCTTCGGTCATAATTTTATTATATGTAGATTATGTAGTTGCAAAAAAATAATTTATGAATATAGTTAGGATAGTTAGCATTGCTAACCAGTCAAAAGTAATAGTCAAAATCAGTTAATTAAACTACCATAATTTCTGTTCCATCTCCTAATCTCAACACAGTGCCTTTTGGCTGTTTTACATATAGAGACAAGATAAATATTTTATTAGAGGTTGGTGAAATCATTTCTTGGTTATCAAAGGTAACAAAAGTACTTGCTATAGTATTTTTTACTATAATTGCAGATTTGACTTGGAAGCAAAAGTAATTCCAATGATTTTTTATCAAATCTTCGTATTTAACTTCATAAGCCCATCTTCCCTAGCCACTATAATATTCCTTTCTAGGCTTTACTTCGGTAATCTTCACCAATTTCCAGCATTTGAAGCAAATGGCCATTTAACTTTTATGGATACTAGGTCTACGATATTGAAAGTAATCTTCATATAACTCACCATTAATATCGTATGTTTTGGATTCTACTTGCCCAAATGAACTGAAAAGGCAATACACATAGTATAAACTATATTTTTGCTTAAAAGTAAAGGAGCTCTTATACGAACAGCCTATTGCTGAGGTGTTTCATAAGGTCTAATAATGGATAAATGATCATATTGTTTTTCTATTTCAACTACTTTTTCATACTGATAGTTATCAGTTTGAGGTTAATAGTTAAAAACATGTTTCATATCATATCTGGAGTGAAGAATGATAGGTTTGGGTATAGTTTTATTATAAATCTTATCTAATATGATCTTAACCATTGCATCAGGTATATTTGATGATTATGTGATTGCGGACAATAAATAAGACTTATAGTAATTTTAGTGATATATAGTATTTTTAGTGAATATTCTTGTTATAACAGTTTGTAGCAAGTATATTATAATAAAGTATTGGATTCATTTTTATTCAATTAACTTCAACTTGGAAATAGATTTATAACTGATTTTTTTGATTTAGTTAAATTAGATCTGAAACAATATATGTTCATCTTTGTATTACAGTATACTTGACTCTTTTTCAGTATTTCATTAATCCCTGGTGCTTTCCCGTCACTTTCTCGTAACCTATATCACGAGATGATCAGCAATTCAGATCTCGAATTCATAAAAAATGCAATTAAGCCTTTTTTCGATTAATCATTATATTAGTCATTGTGAAAATTAAAGCGCTGATTGTATACAAAGCTTATTGAGTCTTACTTAGTCTCCACTAATTCGCCAACTCACTTCAATCATGTTCTATATAAGTAAGTCTTTTTAGTCTTTCCCATAAAAATAAAAATGTCTGCACAGTAGAATGAGAAACAAATCCGAATGCTTATCGATAAACGTAAAAATGGAAACAATCGATACCACCAAACCTCTAATTACTACAAGAGAAACTTTTGGGATGATATTGCGAATAAAATAAACCAAGCAAATAATACTAACTACTTCACTGGTGAAGATTTTAATAAAAAATTTTTAGTTCTAACTCGAGCATACTATGTAAGTTATATGATAATTGAGCAGTTGGAAATGCTTTGCATATATTTAATCTGACTTTAATTTGATATTTTTATTCTATATAGACAGCCAAGGCCTATAAAAAAGCTAAGGCAGAAGCTGAGAGTCTCTTAAGAAACTAACTATTAACTAATGAGAGACCTGAGATTCATTTATATGAACGATCACCAGCTAGGGTGATAACTAAAAAGAAGAGAAGTATTATTGAATAGCAATATTATTATGAGTTCTCTACAGAATTTTAGAAAGAACCCAGTATTTGTTTTTCTGATATTTGTGTTTACTTTGGTAAATCCAGAATATTCTCCCTAAATATTTATTATTTCTAGGATCACAACGTTCTACGACATCATCTAATATAACCATACAACTAACACTCTCAACACCTGATCCTTTCGAAATAGGGTCTGATACTTCTTTTGCTAAACAAACCAAATTATCAAGACCAGTAACGCCTTCTATTGAAACTCCTGTTGTCTCTGCCAGAAGCACTTTAAGCAGACCTGTCACTCCCACAATCCCCTCATTCTCTCAAAATGCAAATGTAATTAATTTAACAATTAATTATAGTAGTAAAGGAAGCAGTTCAAAAGAATAATAGGAAATAGAATATTTTTATTAATATATATGTATAGCGCTTAGCAACTGTAGAATAGTATTTTAATGTTCTAGCTATTTGTTTTTACAATTATAGCTGTATTAATAAGCAAATGTAATTAATAAATAAATATCACTTGTAAAACGCGAAACATATTCAAAAAACTTAAAATAAAATCTTTATTTATCATTATGTAATATGGCCGATCCGTTAAGTAAAAAAGTGAATAAAAAGATAATAGATCGAAAGACTGGAGAAATGTAATGATTGGAATAAATGATGCTATCAAAGAGGAAGGGAGTTCTCAGATCCTAAGCCATAAATGAGAGTCTCAGCATCAAGTTATTTCGCAATATTACTTTTACCAATACTTCCTCTAACGCTACCACTACTGCTACTGTGATTACTACTACTATTATCAGAAAAACTAACTGATTTCTTATTTCCCTCCTTTTCAACCCATTCGATAATTTTATCTATAAAAGTTTTTCTTGGTGATTTTTGATAACGATAAAAACTAGCTAATGTGCTAGCACTAAGTCTAATTTTGATTGATAAAATATTGTACAATTGTGTTGGTAAACGAGCTTCTCTTTTCCTCCTGTTATTAAAAAGGGTCATAAACTCGACCCAGTATGTTTCATATTCATCTGTATATTAAGAATACTGTCCTATAGAAACGTGACTTATGGAAGAGAATCAGTTTGATCCAGCTAAAAAAATAAGACGCAAATTGGCGCAGATAAGTATATATGCATAACGTATTATTTTTTTCTCTGTAGCACATAACTTACCTTGAAATACCGCATTATTTCTCCATTCAGCTTCTGTACACATTTTTTAAAGTTCATTACTTAATATTAAGACTGTTTTTTGAGGTTATTGTCTCCTAATCGCATTAGATATTTGCGAAAAAAGAAGATAGTAACAGCAAAGATTATATAAATATTTACGTTTTCTGAAAAAATGCCCTAGATCAGATCTATTGTAAGGATACCCACAGGTTACCATCTCGTAAATTACAATTGTGGTGCTAAAGAGTGCGATCAAGAAAATATCTGAGTTTGAGAATATTTTTTAGATAGAGTTTTATTAGTTTTATATGAAATTGTTATTTTTTTCACTTTTTGAAGGAAAAAAAATACCAAAGCGGTTCTCTAGAAATAATCCTTTTATATGTTTTACAATCATCTGGCAAAATAAATGTCTATATACATTAGCGTAGAGAACCCGTGTCGAAATACAGGCTTGGAATAATTGTGAAAATGATATCTGTCTATACCCCTATTTCTGAAAAAAGAAAGTTAAGATCCAGAGTGACGCCTGTACTTAAAGACGAAAAAAGTTAGTGCATTCTCGTATCCCCATATCCTCACAACATATGTATTCAAGCAATGAAAATAACAATATTTTTTTTCATAAATGCTTGGCCGTGAGGCCTTACGCAAGGGAAAAGTTTTTTATTAATAAAAATTTATTGAAATATTTATTAGAATCCCTCTGGATCATGTATGTACAGTATGTGAATAACCTATATTATAAAGTACTATTCTCTTATTTTATTTTTGTCTAAAGAATAGCCAAAAGAAGAACTAAATATCTGTATATGAGACCCGGTTACAAGAGAAATTTAATATTTTTTTTCTTACTTCGAACATATAAGAAGGTGGGAGTTCTATTTGTTTATGGTGCAGTTTGGTTCAAAGTCAATGTACAATGACAACTCCACCAAAATGTGGGGTGAAAGGAAAAAATAGGCAGGGTATTTATAAAAAATAACATATAGATCTGCATAATTATTTTTGCAAAAAAATTAGTCATTCTAGGAATAAAACTATCAAGAGTAATGGCGTAAATTTCCTGATAACCCATGATCATCGATAAGCGGAGATGAGAAAAAAGGAGATGCATGTGTTAACTGTAATCTATATTCTTGATTATGTGAATGATTTATAATAATGCTCTAGCCCTTTTTCGAATATAGTATACTGCTTATTTGTGGATCGATAAAACTGTTAAAAAATCACAATAGTAATATATCTATTTTCGTTTCATTCTCCTGCAAAAAATTCAGAATAAAGAGTTTTCAAAAACTAATTAGTATGTGAGTAATCATACACGTAATTGATTACGCTAATAAACTAGCGTTTATCCAGAGATCTGCAAATCATAGATTCTAATCAGCTCTATTTCCATTTTTGAATTTCTTTTTATCAACGCCCTGTTTTACAATCCACAAAATGTAAATCAGGGATGTAGTTTTTTTATTAGTAATTCAGAACTGCGTAATAAGTGAGATAGAATATACCAGAACTTCTTTTGGCACTAATGGGAAGGTTCATCAGTATGTCAACACAAAATACTGATCTTGGCCAGGGTTATTAATAGATCCTATGACTGCAGATATCGGTGATGTACTACTGTACTTAGCATATTCTGCAGATATTAATTCACATGAACCACTTCTGGCAAACACAATTACAGGGATATCATCAACATGAATTTTCTCAACATCAACTTCAATATATTTAGCAAAACTTTCTTTTATATACTCTTTCCTTTCTTTCAAGAAAGTTATTTCATCATCACATAGTTCATTAGAACATCTAACTTCTGCATCCCATTTGATTTCTAGATGGACAGAACTATCATTAACTTTTTTTGATATATTCTCTTTCAAGACATCAAATGCATCAACAACCTTTTGATTATATTTTAAAGTTTCTAGAAGACGTTCATAAATTACTTTTTCAAATTTTTCAATGATTTACGTGTATCATGATTTATCAGATTCTGTTATTGCAGTTGCAGTTGCTGTAGTCGTTGTAGTAGTTGTTTCAGTTATTAATTTAGTTTTATTGTTTGTCATGTTATCATCTTTAACGTTGCCAATTTCAGTCACAATTTTTGTGCTTGTTGTTGTTTCCGTTTTCAGTTTTTCTATTACATCATTAATGGGATAGAAAACTTTATAGGCTTCAAAGGTTGGCTGTCAGATGACTCAGATGTAATGTGAGATAATACTTAAAAAATAAATACAGAGATCCAAGTGTACATAATTATTTTTTATGCAATTTTGCGATTTTTTGTTTTTCATTTGCGGAAAGTATTGGAATATGATTGTTGATTTACCAATGTGTCAGAAGTTGATTATTGATCTATTGACTGGCTAGAAGATAATTTAAGTGTGATCAAAGAATGCGTGACCCAGTATTCCCATGAGCTGATATTAGCACTTGAGGATGAGGAGAATGAGGATTCTTCTTTGCTTGTCGAGCTACAGAGGGGTGAAATAAATATTGAATAATTTTTATTTGATGTTTATTTATATTTATTTGCTACAATAAATTTGTATAATATATTTAATATTTAGTATAACCTCCTTTAGCAGAAATAACTGCATAGATTTGAGAAGGCATTGAATTAATAAGTTTTCGATATATTTCTTTAGGAATTGACTTCCATTCTTCAATAATCATTTTTTCTAACTCTTGGATGTTAGATATTTCGGGTTTATGTTTTCGAAGTCCAGACTTAACAATTGATCAAAGTTCTTTAATAGGATTAAGGTCAGGACTCTGAGGTGGCCATGACAAATGTTCTACTTTACTTGAAAGAAGAAAATCTTGTGCGATTTTTGCTGTATGCACTGGTACATTGTCTTTTTGGAAAACAAGCTTTTTTTTTGACTTTTCGTGATTGTTCTTTAAGGGTTGGCACAGCATAAGTTTCAAGGATTTCATGATAGGTTTTACTAGTAACAGAACCAATTAATGAAATAATAGGTCTGAGACCAAACTATGAAAAACAGCTCCAAAACATTCATTTGGGACTGTGTTTTACAATCAAGACGATACAATCTTCATTAAATTCTTCTTCAGATTTTCGTCAAACTCAATCCTAACCTGAGATTTGAAACTGAGAAAAAGTAGATTCATCTGACCAAACTACTTTTTTCCAGTCAGCCATTATCCAATTTTTATGCTGTTCCGCAAAAGCAAGTCTTTTGATTTTATTTGCAGAAGAAATCAATGGTTTTAGACAAGGCATGCATAATCGAATGCCTTCTATTCTTAATGCTTTTTAGATGGTTCACTTGGATACTTTTTCACCTTTATTTTGTTTTATAAAAAGCTGACAAACTTCTTTTAAACTTTGACGCCTAGAATCTT